GCCAAGCTGGTAACGAGGACCGTTCAGTGAATACCTCGATTAACTGAAAATGCGGGTTCTTTACCTCATGATTAAGTGTTGGTCGATAATAGGGCCACCCAGGGATATTAGCAGTTGTAAGCTTTCAAAACCTAGACACACACATCAAACTCCCAGGAAAGTTTTGTGCGTTCTCAAATTGTGTATGCTCATTGTTCGACCGGCCCCACACATTCGCACACAAAGGTGTTAATTCCCCGCCTTGCTACCCTCCCCCTGCTTCTCTATCCCCAAGATGACGGATGGCTCCCACAAGCAGACGCCCATGACGATGGCGCCATTGTTAAGTGCTCTCTCAACCCCTCTCCACCACCGTCCGCCATCGCAATCAACAGAGGGTGTGACGAAGACGGGAGTACAAAGGGGAGCCAAAATAGGGAGAGCAGATCGAGGTCGGAAGAGCCCAGCAAGCTGGGATATTACTCTACTGACCTGTTCATTTTGGTAGGCCGTGACGGCGATGAACTCCGACTCCTCGAATGAGAAGGTGACGAACTCGCAGAAATTGATCTTCATGAGATCGTCTGCGCGGACTATGTGTACACGGGGTATGTACTTGTGCATAGAGTTCAACACGGCTTGCTAAAAGTTGAGTAGCCACTTTGACAGTGCATCAGAAGCAGTTACAGTTAAATATGAATTTGTTTATTAAAGCAGTATGACCCTAACATTGCATGTTGAAAATTTCATGTTAGTGTATCAAACTACCGTAATACTCTAACAGATTACTATGGTTGGGGTCACTAGACAGTAATCGAAAGCACTGTGCTACCTTGTGCCATCTTCCACCACGATACAGTTTATTCTCTGTGAGATTTCTCACCTAGTAAACACAGTTGAATTCTTTTGGGATGAGTTTCTTGTTGTACAACTTACACATACGAGGAGTTTGACGGTACCCTAGAACCAGCAGCTCATTAAACGCACACCACTGTACGCACACACACACACAAGCAGACACACGCAAGCTAATCAATTGTTAGCCGTCAGCACTATCTAGCGATTGTCAGAGCCGGTTATGTGGTCCGTTTATTGCCAAAACAATTGTGTCTTCACACCTTTACACCTACCGCATGGTGACAAGTGAAATTAATAATTTATGTGTACGCAAGTAGACCTGACGACCCAACGAAGCACACAAAACACTCGTGTGTGCTTGATGTATAGCTCTACGTCGCACGTGCAAACACTCCTTACAAGTTTAAATGCAAGTGGAGGCTTCGGTAAATTTAAGCCTTTCCTTGAAAGTGGCCCGATTTTAGGCATATAGCCTTGAGTGAAAAACCACACGAGTCTCAAACTTTCACAATTACTCTCAGAATAAGTCTTCAATTCTTGCGGATGGTGTCAGCTCTGAGAGATTCAATGATTAAATTCGAGAACGATTAATCAATAGTAAAAGAATTTCTCACAAATCATCCGGCAAAGACGCTCGACGTGGGTCCACCTAGGTGTGCGTGATTCAAGTATAGACAAGCGTGAACTGTCGTGCGTGTGGGGGCTCTGGATGAGATGGACGATACATCAAGAGAGTGCCGCAAGCAGGGTTACCACTCAGGCTAGAGCACACACAGAGGAGGGACAGCCGTTCGACACAGACCATCTGGGCAGACGCATCGACTAGCAGCTCGTCCCCACTGATGGGAGGCCGCAAAGGCAGGAGCATCCGTCTTGTGTGCCCTTACTAATATCCACTCCCTCACTCCACTTCTCCCAAATCACTGAGATTGCAAATTTCCACTTCTTCTAGTTTCTGGACCGAATGCTTAGTTCAATTATGGTATGTAGGCCCATGTCTAAGCTGCTGGAACAATAATACACGCAGAACCTAGGCAGTTTTTCTCAAAACGCCTGGCATATTTTCCTGAACATTTAGTGATAATAACGAAGTTGGTGCTGCTAAAGATGCTTCGACGGGCGAATTAATCGAGAGCCACTAAGATTAATAATTGCCTAAGCCCCATTTAGCAGATTTGCATTTCATTGACCAAGGTTAATGGAGTTTTTAGTGCAGCTCCGAGACGAAACTTCAATCACACACATGCATGTAATAAAATAATGTTGGAAAAGTAGGTGGGGATCTATTTGCCTTTCTTACACTTCCTTTTCATCAGGTTGAATTTGCTCACAAGATGCTAATTTAAACCATTTTTTAGATTTTTGGAACAAGTTTTACTTTCTATACTTAAAAAATAGAAAAATCTAACCAAAGTGCACACATCATATCTTTGACTTTGGTTGAACTGATCTCCGCAGTCCTCTCCCCGATCTACTGTTGGTTTTGAATTCAAAGCTGCAAAAAGGAGAGTTCACTTACAAAAGGTTGTCGCTCGGCGATATTGTTGGTAAGCTTGAGTTTATGGAAAGAAATGGGTTTCTGCATCCACTGCTCGCCAGTGGCTGGTGAATCGGGGTGGATGTAGGGTCGTTTGGTAGGTTCAGGATCAGCCTTGCCCGCAACCGCCCAACCATTGTTATGAAATTTGTACCGGTTTTCATCCCGCGGCACTATGTCCATGAGCATTACATACTTTGCCTTCGGATCCAACCCACTCACGTTGATCTTGTAGGCTGGGAACATGCGTCTAAAGAGGTTAAACTGGAGTGAGACAACCCTGACGTGGATTCAAGCTACCGTCACTACTCTTATTCTTTTGACTGAGTAAATTATCACTCTGGCCCAACATTCGCCTCAAATGGCTCCAAATCACACAAAGTTCAAATGATACGCAAGACCATCGTCCTGCAAGGCAATTAGTCTACGGTATTGCACCGCTGCAATATAGTCGATCCCTAGGGCTATGCTTGATTTATTTATCTATTAGTTATTTTAGAGTCTGAGCAACTCAAAATTGAAACCATTAGGAAAATAGACTTGTCGTGCTCCTGTTGCATGGGAGACCTTAATGGGAAGAAAATATCCTGTCATTATTAAATAAAAAAGTGCTGCTTAAACCTTTCTGCATGAGTTGAACCATTGACTACTTAAGATGTAAATGACGCACTAAATTAAAGACCGATTTCCCAAACCAAAATTTCATCCTGTTCCTTTCGAATCATCATTTGGAACATTTTTCGATAAATGCAAAACTTTAAGTGGGTTACAGCATTCACCAACTACAAAAAGTAATCTGGAGTTTTCCATTTGC